TAAACATAATTTTTCAGAGTCCACCAAGCTGACTACTTCCTGTAGCAATAACTGGTCAACAGTCCACAGCCCTCTTGGAGAAGGGTGGGGATCAGAGGCAGGACCAAGAGGGTTCCTGGAACATCTTCACTGCTGCTGGGGAGGCAGAAGCTTTTCCTATATGCATTGCTAAGTAAAAAGWCTAAATCAAAAAATGACATCAGGAAGAGAAGGCGATTTAGAGCCAACAGTAAGACCTCTGTAGAGCTGGAAAAGGCCATTTTCCACTCCCCCGMACCCCAGGGGGCTGGGGCAGTAAGGAGGAGGATTACCATCCACCTCTGTTATCTTCCCAGTGGGAAGAAGGGACAGTCACCAAGAGGTGCTAATAGATGGGGAGCTACCCACGAGCCTCTGAGGTGTGTGAAATTCCCCAAGTTGGGTTGCCTTGAAACTTAGTTGCACCTGAGTATCGAACCACATCAGTGTTACAGTCCAAGGTGTCCAGTAATAAGGCTGATAGGACCTTGGGGGCCCGGTCCAACTTAAGCTCTCATCTCTGCACCAGAACCAAGGTTCCCATACATTTGAGGTTACAAGGCAGGAGCAGTCACAGGAAGTGACCCAGAAATCAATGCTCTGGAGTTTGAGAGTCAATCACCCACCCACAACAGGAAGCTAGAGTTATGTTCCCAGCAGGTGAAATGGGCAGGCCTGGTGGAAGCTCTTGGAGGTCTCCAATCAAAGGTCACAGAACCTCTACATCACATTGCCCCCATCACCACTGCCTGTCTCCCTTCCCCATCCCCGCCCCCAACCCCCAGCACTGGCTGTCTGGCGGCCTCCCACCCAGTAGTAGTAGCTCAGGACCAGTCCCAGGGATAATCTCAGCCCCAGGAAGGCAGGAGGTCAAAGGGGTGGGAAAGCTGTCAGCTCCAAATTAGGCTTGAGAAAGGCCTAGGACCAGGAGGGGAGGAGGCCAGAGGAAAACAATAAAAAGCAATAAAATAAAAAGGAAAGGAAGGGGGAGGGACTCACCAGGGTCAAAAAGGCATGAGGGGTTGGTAAAGACACAGCCTAAAGCACTGTAATTGTCTAGGAGGGAGGAAGGGGGACACCAAGGCGCCACGCTAGGGGGAGGGAGGGTCTCGACCTGCAGATCATGCTAGATACATCAGCAAGGCTCGGAGCCCAGTCCCCAGCGAGAGCGGTGAACCCAGTGTCAGGAAAAGGCGCCTGCGCCCTGCACGAGCTCAAGGCCCCCAAACTGCTAAGGAGCACCTCTCCGCAGCACAACCAGTCTCACCCAGCCTGGCGGACAGACTGGCTGCCAGACGCTTTCGAAGAACGCTGGTGGAGAGGGGGAAGCTCTGAGGCGGGTGCCCTCCCAAGCGCACRTCAAGCCCCACTGTGCAGAGTCCCGCAAGTGGCTGACTTTGCCGGGTCCAGGATGCCGGAGGGCGCCCCAAGCAAGGAGGGGTAACGCAAGACCCGGGAATCCCGGTGCTGGATTGTGGTAGGGTATCAGGGGACCGGCTGCCCGCCGCACTCACCTTTGAGGAAGTAGACCCGCGGGCCCGCGGGCAGGCAGGCCAGCAGCGAGTTGAGCACTACGCGTGCGGCGCTCTCCTCCCGCAGCTTCTGCCAGTGGCGGCTGCCCTGGTCCAGCACTACCACTGCCGCCACGCCGCCGCCGCCTTCCTGCAGCAGCCGCGCGCGAGCCGCCTCGTCGGGCAGCACGTAGCGCGCCGACACCGCGCCGCCCCGGGCCCGCCGCAGCACCACCGAGTTGAGGTTGACATTGAGCGAGCCGCGCACGCTCGAGGCGGCGAAGGCCAGGTAGGGCCGGCAGTCGAGCACCACGCAGCGCGCCGCCGCCTCCTTGCGGAGCATCTTGAGCAGCTGGCGCCCGTTGAGCGACTTGACCTTCATGCCGCCACTGCCCAGCGGCCCCGCGCCGAGCCGGTGCCCACGGCCAGGGTACCCGCGGGCTAGGCACGGGAGGGCCACCGCGGGGCTGAGGCCGGCCGAAGGAGCCCAGCGCCGGAGGGGCCGCTCAGTGCTCTTTCCCGCCCCGCGCGCTCGGCACCCGGCCCGGCCACTTGCTGCCCCAGAAGCCGGGGATTCCGCCGGCAGCGCCGCGTTTTATGTGAATGAGTGTGCGGCCTGTGACGTGGCTGCCCATATAAGGCCAAATATGGGTATTTCCCCGCCCCTTCTGTCGTGGTCACGCCCACAGGGGCGGGGCGGGCGCCGAGGGTTAGTCACAGGGAGAAAGAGGAAGTGGAAGGCGCCTCCTGGCTCTCTCCGCGGCGTARCGCGGAGGGACTCACTCTCGCATCACCCGGGCTGCGGGTGGGATGTCAGGAAAGCCGCAGGACCGAGATGACCCACGCTGTGCGGGAAGAGGAGGAAGCAGAGGAGGGGGCGGCGCCGGCGCCCCACTATCCGCTTTCAGTTTTAGAGACGTGGGCTGAGAACCTGCGGGGGGGTTGAGCGGGGCAAGGAACCGGCCCTTGCCCCCCAGATGAATCCGGAATGGATTCCCGTCGTGACCGAAGTGTTTAAGCATGTAAGATGATATCCGAGATCTGCCTCAAGGGATGGGGTATGGATGACTCTAGATCGGGCAAGTGTYGGTGATTCTTGAAGCTGGATGCTGGATACTGGGGGTTCATTATATCGTTTTCTCCACTTTTTTTATGTATATTTGAGATTTCCATAATAAAACTTTCTAAAAGTTAAGAGGGAAAGGGAGACTGATTAATTCATTAATTGATTAGTTGATCCTCTCCAATAGATTCTGCTCTCAAAAGGATTSATAGCTCTCTGTTCCTCTCCCATAAGGAGAATAATAAACCGGCGTGTGGAGGAATSCCTCTCTGGTCCCTGTAAACCTGTTGTGAATTCAGCAGCAACATCAACATGTATACAACGATGGGCCTCAGTCCATTAAACTGCTGTCCAGGTGGCTTCTGGATTTGGGAGATTATCTGTGGATCAAGTATAATCCCAGGCTGTCTGCCCCCACCATTCCCCAGGAGCTTCAGGCTTCCCACCCCCACTCTTGGGGAACTGAGCACGATTCACCTCCTCTGCAAGTATTTATTGAAGGCCGTCTCTGTACAGGGCTTCTCTGCCTGCAGGGACACATGGGATTGAAGTACATCTCTGCCCCCAGCTCACCGCCAACCATTTTATCATTGGTTGGGCTGGAGCTACCTGGTGGAAAACAGCCTTCCTCCTCTAGAGAGGGGCTTGTTTACAGCTGACATAAGGGAATGGGGTTTTTAGAAGAAAATTAACCAAATTCTGAAACCAAATGCAGTCAACCCCAACACCAGCATAGCTGTCATTGCTTCTTGGTCACAGCTGCATTCAGTCAAAGGCACTGTCCTAGCTCTGCCTGTGGGGTCTTGATAACATGATGTGAGGTATTTATTTTTATTTTTATTTTTTATCTTTGGGGTTATCTGTGTCAGCCTCCCCTGAAAACCGCTCCTCTTCCAACCTGTTCTGTCTCTGTTACTGGCACTATCCTACCCCAGACCTTTCAGCCCAGAACACCACACATATGGGGAATACCCTCATGGACTTAGCTCTATTTTAGGTGCTGGTGGCACCAATGAGCAAGATTTGCTGTCTCCTCTAGCTATTCCCCCCTCCCCCACGCACCAGCCCAGAGGGGAAGCCAGCTGCACACAGGCCTCTTTACAGTTCAGTGGTCAGTGAGGAGGGTCACCCAGAGTCTGTRTGGATGGGGTAGAGTGAGGATGGGGGATGGAGAAGGTCTCCAGAGATGGGGGCTGCGGCAGACTTCCAAGGATTTGACCTTAGCCAGGCCCTGAAGGGGARGGTAAGGCATTCCAGGCAGAGAAAACCGCCTAAGGTAAAGGAAAAACCAACCTGTGGGGTGTGTGCTGAAGGTGTGTGGGAGATCATAGCGTTTCTGGCATTTATTGGAAAACAAAGCAGGGTTAAGTGGCAGAGGGCCTTGTGTACCATTTAAGGCACTTGGATCTTATCCTTTGGGTCTTATTTATTCAGTGAACTGGTCAGGTTAGTGTTTGGGAACACCACTGAAGAAGCGCTGTGGAGGACGAATGTTTTATATGGATGTGAGGGTGGAGTCCAGACTGAGACAGGGAAAGGGACAGGAGGCTTTCATAGGTAATCTAGGCCTAAACTAAGAAGGACCTACTGGGATTTGGCAGTGGTACAGTTGTGAAGAGGCCACGTGGATGGGAGAACATTTACAAGTAAATTACCTGATGGGCAGAGAACAGTGGAGGGAAGCATCCTTGGGAGGGTGACTCTAGCGTCTTTTAACTAGGGTGACAAGGTGAATGGTGGTACCTTTAGTTGCAGGCTCTTCAGTAACAGGTCTGGTGGTAGAAGAGAGGAAGAGGGGTGAGTTTTAGACATGTTAATAAATGAGAGCTGGGCTGGGGATGTGGCTCAAGCGGTAGCRCACTCGCCTGGAATGCGCGGGGCGCTGGGTTCAATCCTCAGCACCACATAAAAAWWAAAA